CCGATTAAAATATAGTACCATTTACCACTTTTCGTACAATTATAACACACATTTTCGAAACAACCTCCCCAATACTAAATTTCAGATTTCAAGCACAATCTGTTCACCCAATACGTACGAATTTCCAAAAGTTCCTACGTTCCCCAATCTTATACTCCAACAGAAATCTTAATTCCAAATTTCTGGATTATAGCCCTTTTGGTTCACACAAACTCAAATTTAGTACAGATAAGTACGAATTTCCAATACTTCCTACATAGTACAGATAAGTACGAATTTTCAAAACTTCTTACATATTCCAATCCTGCATTCCAAATTTCCAAAATTGGTTCACTACTATTCCAATTTGTACAATTGATAGTACTATTGAGTACTCAAAAGTACATATTTCCATAACAACCTGCATCATGCAATCCAATAGAAATCGTATTACCCAATATCAGTATTCCAGCCCTATCGGTTGTTCTTTATTTAGGTACTATTTAGTACAAATATGTACCAATTTCCAATGCTTCCTACATAACACAATTCTACTCTCCCACAGTAACCTCAATTCAAAAGTTCAGCATTCCATCCTTATCGGTTCGCCTAAACACAAATTGTATAAAATTTAGTACCATATAGTACAGTACGAGTTTCCCAAACTTCCTACATAAACCAATTCCACACTCCAGCAGTAGTCTTACTTCCAAATTACAATATTTCAGCTCTATCGGTTCATCTAAAGTGTACCAAATTTAGTACATTTTAGTACATATAATTACAAAACTGCTTACATATACTCCGACAGTAATTTTATTTCCAATTTTTTTGGATACAAACTCTATTCGTTCACCCAAATCCAAATTGTATCTAGTTTAGTACCATTTATTAAGTACACAATTTTCATAACTACCTACATTATACATTCGAATAGAAATCTCATTTTCAAATTTCGGTATTACAACCCTACCAGTTTAACCAAAATTTAGGCTGTACCAAATGTAGTACCATTTAGTACACATAAGAACGAATATCCAAAACTACCTACATTCCTCAGTCCGGAAATGCAATAGTTATCCTATTTCTAAATTCCTGAATTCCAGCTCTATCGGTTCTCCCAAATCGGAATTGTACCAAATTTAATAACGTTTCGAAACTTTCCTTCATATCCCAATCCTATACTCCGCCACTAATGTTACTTTCAAATTTTAGGATTCCAGTTCCATCCTTCTCTCCAATTGTACAGAATTAAGTACCATTCAGTACTTTTCGTATACATGAGTACACACCTCCAAATCAACCTCCTTACATCGACTCTACTCCCCAACCGTGATTCTCATTTCAAATTTCAAGTTGTTAGCTCTAACCGTTCACATGATACGAAATGGTACCAAATGTAGTAAATTTTAGTACTTTTCGTACACTTGTAAAGCGAATTTAGAGCTAGGAATTTATAATGTTGGTATTGGAGTCATGGTTGTGGGTAGGTTTGCTATAAAGATGTAAATTTGGAAATACGTACTAAAAATGTACGAATAGTGCCAAACGGTACTAAATTTTGGTATTTGGAGAAGGAAGGATTGACAGCTCTGGTAAATCAAAATTTGGTAGTACGATCGCTTTTTGTGCGGTGGGGTCAATATATGGAGGTGGATTTGGAACTACGTATGAATAAAGTTACGAAAAGTACGAAATGGTATTAAAAGTTGGTATTTGAGAAAGAGCTCCAAATTTGAAATGAGAATCATCGTTGTTGTGTAGAAAAAACGAACTAAAGTGTTATTAGAAATTCAAATAATAAGTGGACAAAATTAAGAATAATGGTATCCAGAGGTGGTTTTGGAAAAGTGTACTGAGTGTAAGCACGGTACAAAATGGTACTAAATTTGGGACAATATGATTTTAGAATATAATTTTGGAATATTAAAATTTAGTATAGAAATTGGTCGTAACGGAAATTCGTACAAGAAGTGTACGAAAAGTACAAAGTTTTACTTAATTTGACATAAAATGTAGGACTAGAACTGTAATTATGCATTTTAGTATAAGGGCATCCCTGGGAATGCGAAGCGTTGAAATAGAAATGTGAATTCGGAAATGTTTTCGTTACGCATTGTACGAAAAGTACTTAGTGGTACTAAATGTTATATAGGGTGTAGGAAAAAAAGCTAGATTTGTGAATATTGGCATAGGCTGAGAGTGTAGCTTTTAGATAAGGAGAAGAATTTGGAAATCCGTATCATTATCGGTACGAAATGTCCTAAATTTCACATGAGTGTACGAATAGAGCTCAACTAAGGAATTTTGCTATGTCGGTAAGATTAGATAATGGGCAGTTGTTGAAAATGTGTGTTCGAAATTTGCAAGAAGGTACTAGATTTTTTATCGTTGGTTTTGAGCGACTAAACCAGTAATTGTGTGTATGAAGGGTTGATTATTAAAACAGAATGGTGTTATTTGTACGTCCCTGTGGTGTAGGGTATCATATAGTCGCCTCTGCACGACTTTTGTCTTTTCCCTCGTGGTTTTTGCTGTTAACTTTGTCTTTGTCATTCTCTCCCAATTTGCATTTTTGAAGACAATCGAACTCGAACTCGTAATTTTATAAGATTCAGCATTTTACTCCTTTGTGGTAGAAGGAGTAGACCGATGTTGTTCATCCCCAAATGCGATCTAGGTTTGATTGGAATATTACCATGTAACAAGTTTGGATGAAACCGAATACTCCCTTCGAGAGTAATGTAATCCTATTTATATGTAATCCTATTTTTTGCCTGATTTTTTTTTTGTTACTCAGAAACTATTTTCTACACTTTCTTTCCATCCCTCGTTCCTATTTATCACTTGACAATGGATTTAAAATCTTTTTGTTTATTATTTTTGTCTTTTTATTTTGCTTTTTGGTGGATAAAAGAAATTTTTCTTGCTATTTGTTTAGGTTTCCTTTTGTGGATTATTTTCTTTTAGTTGTCAACCCCTTCCCCTTCTTTCTTTCTCCATTTGCCAAACATAATAAATCCCCATTTAGGGATATTACGTCTTGCGTACGTGTTAAAATTTGTTGACTGAATTTTTTAGATGCAATTGTATTGGTTAGCTTCTTCCAGTTGTTTGTGTTTTTTTTTTCATTGTTCCTTCGCAGCATTTGGGCTTGGTTTCTTCCGAATATTGTGTCATTGCACTCGTTGTACATATGTGCACTGAAGAGATGTGACTCTGTTTGCTGGGTGGTGTGAAGGAAAAATATGCAGACTTCGGCACTTGAGTTGTGGTCGTATGTGCAACATTGGGTCTAGGTTCTAAAAATTACCGCCAACATTTTTATACCCTACACCACAAGGTGGTCAGGGTATTATGTCTTTGTGCATTTGTTTGTAACAGGCAAAAGGAAACGAGATAGACCCACAGTTCCTTTTGATGATCTGCATAGAATCACTTTCTGAGTTTATTTATGCATGTCAGTCCGTCTGTCCGTCCGTCCGTCCGTCCGTCCGTCCGTCTGTCCATGTACTCTTGTGAACAAAATGCAGGTCGCATTTATTATCCGTTAGAGATGAAATTTTGCAAACAACATTTGTTTGGCCCAAGGACGAACCCTATTGAAATTGGAGATAATCGGTAAAAATTTAGATATAGCTCCCATATATATCTTCGTCCGATTTGCCTTTTATTGTGCACCAAACGTGTAATATCAGCCCGAATAGTATGGAATTTTGCACATACAACCAAATTAGGCCTCAAAATAAGTAAGCCAAATTTGATCGAAATCGGTTCAGATATAGCTATAGCTCCCATATATATTGTTCATCCGATTTGTTATTTTTGTCCTCCGCAGCCGTAATATGCACTCTGTAACAACAATATTTGGGGAAATATATCAAATGCAGCTCAGAAATACCCGTGCTAAATGTTATCGAGATCGGTTCAGATTTGGATATAGCTCCCATATATAACTTCGTCCGATTTACCTTTTATTGTGCACCAAAATTATAATATTTTCCAAATGGGATGGAATTGGGCACATACGACCGAATTGAGTCTGGAAGATGGTATGCCATATTTGGTGAAGATCGGTTCAGATATAGCTATAGCTCCCATATATATTGTTCATCCGATTTATTGTATTTGTTACCCACAGCCGTAATATGCACTCCGTAACAACGATATTCAGGGAAATATATCAAATACAGCTCAGAAATATCTTTGCCAAATTTTATCGAGATAGGTTCAGATTTGGATATAGTTCCCATATATATTTTTATCCGATTTCAAATTAATTTCGCACCAAATGGGCAATACAAGTCCGAATTTAAAAGATACAAATGCTTCGGCATATTTAGTCCTTTGAATTTTAAATTATAATTATAATCATAGCGTGTATGATTGAATTCTCCCATAAAAACTTTTAATTGTTATGCGGAGCTCTACTAAATTAGCAAAGTGGTGTAGGGTATCATAAAATCGGCCCGCCCGACTTTAGGACTTTCTTTACTGGTTTTTGTTTATCAAAGTCTTTGTATATTGTTTGGTGACTAAAAATCCAAAAAGGCCATCATTAGCCTATCTTCTTACCCTTGCCAGGAATGCATTTGTTAAAAGATTGTTGAGACACACCCATTTTAATTTGTCTTTTTGATAAAAAAAATGACGATTGGGGAACGCGGCCATTCTAAATTGGAAATAGAAAAGAGAGAGAAAGGGAGAGAGAAAATTTAGCCTCGAGATTCAAGTTTCCTTCTATATAACCATATTTCAGATATCGGCAATTTTGTGAAGAGGTTGCTAGTTGCCTCTATGACTTATTGTGCAATAGCGGTTCTCTCTTTTACGCCTTGGAAAAAATGCCAAACAAGAAAAGATAAAGAATCCTAATATAACTCTATTCCTAACATCGGGAGTCTTATGTATCCTATAGCCATAGATCATTAATCTTAAACCGTAAAAGTTATATTTGTTTTATTCTTTGCCACGACTTTTATAATATATTTACCTTTCTGTCTATTTTTATTTAATTTCAGGATCCTGCTGGTATATTCGAACTTATCGAAGTCGTCGGTAATGGCACTTATGGTCAAGTCTATAAGGTAAGTAGAGATTGATAATTTTTTTAACATAAAGAAAGAATACCATGTCGGGTATTTAAATTCCTAAAAATTGAAGTCGACTTATATCATTTGATACGGTCAAAATGTGTTGGCTTATTGAAATAAAGATTTTAGGCCATGGGTTTCTTTGGTCGAAATTCGTTTTAGGATATTTGAAGTCGATCTAGGCGATTCCGTCTGGCTGGCTGGCTGGTGATAACTCCCGAAGGCAGTATCGCATTTGATGCAAACTTGGTACATCGAAATACTATTTTCAAACTTAGATCGAGTTTGGTGATGGGCAATATCGGTTTACTCCTTCTGCTTCAAAAGCTCAAAATTTTCATAAAACATAATTTACATTATTGAACAAGAGAGGATCATTCAATTTTATGCACATTTTGCAAACCTCAATATTTGTATTAGTGCTACCTACGTCAGGTGCAAAAAAATGGACAATATCGGCCCATTCCATCATGTACCTCCCAAAGCTTCAAAATTTTAAATAAATTTAACTCTCATAAAATACAAAATAAACACCCGATTCTCCTCAAATTTCACACATCACAATATTTATACTAACATAAGATCAGCGGTATAGATGGAGTATAACGGACTGCTTCTTCCGGTAATTCCGCCACAACCGGCAAAAATTAAAAAAAAAAAAACGTTGACTCCCATAAAATGCGAATAAAGCATTGGACTCTCTTCAAATTTCACACATTCCAAGATTTTTATTTACACAATATCGAGTGTAAAGATGGTAGCTTGGGCCCACCTCTTCTGGTACCTCCCCCTCAATGAGTCACAATTTTAAATCTCTCATAATTTGCGATTCTGACGTGAATATGGAATTTATCAGTCCATTCCTTTTTGTGCAGAAACAGACAATACAGGTTTACCTCATCCAGGACCTCCGCCACAAAGGGTCAATATTTTGAATTATCATAACTCTTAAAAATGTGAAATAAGAGTCCGATTGTCTTTAAATTTCGCACATCCCAATAATTCTAGCAACACAAGCTCTTAGGCGAAGACAGATCCACAAAGGGTCAATATTTTTAATAATTATAATAATTGCAACATTTGATTATCTTCGAAGTTCGCACATCTCAATATTTCTATTAACACAAGAACTGGTGTAAATATGGAATATATCTGATGACTCCTTTTGTGCACATCAAAGGGCCAACATTTTGGTTACTTATAACACTTATAATATGCGATTACTCTTAAACTATGTATATCTTACCTTTTGATACCTCCCCCACAAGGGGGCAACATTTTAAATAAGTCAAGTTTCATCAAATTGAATGCAGGGTGAGATAAAAAAAATGCAAGCAACTTCAGACTGCTGTCATTCCTAAGCCACTCATCCGAAAGCGGTTAAAATTATTCCAGTGACAGCTCATTATATTGTTTACAAGCGTACAAAAGCATTTTGGTGAGAATTTTCCAGAAAAGAAGTTATTCGTCATGGAATTCAAGCGTAATAGTGTGATTTCTTCATATTTGTTTGGAAAACCACAATTTCTCCAGCATTTAAATGTGAATAAATTTTTTGTGTCTCGTACCATCGCTCGTTACCGTGATACTGGTATCGTTGCCCGACGTCAAGGAAGTTGACGGAAGAAAACAGCAGAAATGGTTTGAAAAGTAAAGAAGCGACTTGATCGAAACCTGCGTCGCAATATTCCATTCGGCAAATATTGAAAAATGAGCTCGGGCCATTGAAATTCCAAAATGTGCAAGAACTTACACCGCAACGGAAAGAAAATAGACTCAAAAGAGCTAAAGAGTTGCTTCGCTTGGCCGAAAGTGGTGAACTGCCGAATTTGGTTTTCTCCGATGAGATAACATTCGTTATCCAGCAGTTTGTATACAAACAAATTTATCGTGTTTGCATGCCAAAGAGGCTGAACATGTGCACCTTCGGTTGGCCACCAGAATTCAAGCGCCGGCCATGGTGATGGTGTGGGCCGCCATAACAGCCGATGGTCGCTTTCCGCTCGAATCAATCGACCGTGGCATCAGAATAAATGCCGAATATTATCGCGAAAATATTCTGGAGGGTGTATTAAAGCCTTGGGGACGCAAACATTTTGGCCGCAGACCTTGGGGTTTCCAACAGGACTCAGCACCACCCAAGAATGGTTACAAAATGAGATTACTCGCTTCATTTCCAGCACACAATGGCCACCAAAATCTCCGGATACCCATCCGTTGGACTATTGTGTCTGGAGTATTTTGGAAAGCAAGGTTGACACTAAAAAATACTAAATTGTCGATCACTTCAAGCAAGCGCTTCGCCGGGAATGGGCCAAAATACCGCTGCGTAACGTTCGGGCATCGTGTGACGGTTTTATGAACGTTTGAAGGCCATAATTCGGGCCAAAGGCGACCAATTCGAACAGATCTAAATTTATTCTAAAACTTGATGCTATTTCCGACATTTTTTGCATTCATTCAACAAAATATAAAAATTATGGCGTTTGACTTTGTTGCAGTTTTTTTTATGTCATCCTGTATTGTAGTTTTCCGTACAAATCTCAAATTTACAAAGAAATCGCCCAGAATAAAAGATTTAAACATGAGTAGTACTTCCCGACCTTATAGGAAACGACAATTTCAGATTAAAGAATTTTTCGAATTTTCTGATAAATTTTTATTCAATTTGAGGGAAATTACAGATAAAAGAGTCCACTGAACAGTAACTAAGAATGAAAGGCTTCCAGGAAAGGCCTCCAGGAGTACTTTCCGAATATACGGACCTTATAGGCAAAAAGAATTTTAGACTTAGGTATTTTTCGAATTTTCTTAAAAATTATCGCTCAATTTGAGAGAAATTACAGGTCGGTTAATTTGAGGATATTACGAGACCCTTTATTTGTGCCCATCCTCAACACTACTTCATTCTTAGTCTCTGTTTGTGGACCCTTTTATCTGTAATTTTCCTCAAATTGGGCGAAAATTTGTCAGACATTCGCAAAATTATCGCTCAATTTGAGGACCTTATGGGCAAAATGAATTTTAGACTTAGGAATTTTTCGAATTTTCTTAAAAATTATCGCTCAATTTGATGGAAATTACAGGTCGCTTATTTTGAGGAAATTACGAGACCCTTTATTTGTGCCCAGCCTCAACACCGCTTCATTCTTAGTTTCTGTTTGTGGACCCTTTTGTCTGTAATTTCCCTCAAACTGGGTAAAAATTTGTCAGAAAATTCGAAAATTTATCGCTCAATTTGAGGACAATTACAGATCGCTCAAAATTTGAGACCCTTCATTTGTGCCCAGGGTCAGAATTTTTCAGAAAAAAATAAGTTTGGAATTCTTTTTGCCTATAAGGTCCTGATTTTTTTTTTACAACCGATATAAATATGTATATTGAAGTTTAGATGCTAAATGGCGTTCAACGGGTTTCAATTATTAAAAAAATAATTTGGAAAAAAAACACATGTTTCTCTATATACACAATTATCTCACTTTAATTCCTCTCATTTGTAGTAAACATTTAATTTATCTCCTTCTAATCAACATATTGAAAAAAAAACAAAAGAATAGAATTTTTGGTTCAAAAAAAAAAAAAAAAAAAAAAAAAAAAAACAATCCTAACAAAATTAGAATTCATAAATAAATATCGCATGCAATACTTGACACAATGACCCCGCTACTGCGTCGACGACTGTTGCTGCTGGTGTGCTGCTGCTACTGATACTGTTGTTGTTGTTATTGTCGTCGTTGTTGATGCTGCTGCTTCTGCTGCTTGGCTATTGTTCCATTCAACTCCATTGTCTGTTGGAGCATAAAAAGTGAACAACCTAGATTTTCATATTTGCACACATCAAAAACATTCACACTCACACATACACACACAGAGGCACACACACTCCAATACATACACAATGAAAATTTGTTTACTATTCTCTAGTCATCTTGACGATGAGGGTACTCTTTGTTCTATAGAGTGGAGTCGTTTAACTGTTTTTTTTTTTGCTTTTTTCGATATTGTCTTCTCATCTCAGCTCAGCCGCCACTAGGTTTTGTTGCTGTTGCCATTTTTATGCCCCAAAACAACAAGAGCAACAACAGAATCTAAAGCATAAAGAAAATTATCTATTTTTTTTTTTTTTTTGTTATTCGTCTGCTCATGTTCTTGTGTTATCGCCTAGTCTCTATATCATTTCAAAGACCCACAATGAACAGTGTGTAGTACATGGGTTCTCAGCATAAAATTTATAAAAATTATTCCTGTTAGAGGTCTTCTATGGATGAAATGTTTTTCAGAAGACTTCTATTGAAACTACGAGTTTTTAGAGCTTTTTATTCAAATGGCGCCCAATGGGGGGCAACTACATAGAATTGACGTAGGTTCCTTTCTGTAGAAGACATGTCAAAGATTTGGTTACCATCAACCTTTTGGCTACAGAGGTCAATTATCATTTGATACTATCAACATATGCCTCATCGAAATAGTGGTTTTCATCATCTGAGGAGTGTCGGCCAATGACCGTTCGTCTATCAAACCGTGTGTGTTTTTGCGTACGATTACTATGGAAGGTATTTTCCGATTTGGTCCAAACTTGATGCTCCGAAATATTTTTTTTACCAAAATTATATCCATTTCGGAGGTAGATAATATCGATCTACTTCTTCTCGTACATCCACAAAAAATACTTTAAATTTCGCAAAAAACCAAAAAAAAAAATACAAATCTCATATTGAGCGACATTGCTATACATCGTTCTATTTAGACAAGACATATGTCTGGATCGAAAGTGGACTTCTTCCTGCACATCCCCCACAAAAAGTAACAATGTTTTAAACAACAAATGCTCTCTTAAAGTCCGATTTTCTTCAATTTTTTTCAGATACTTTTTTAGTTTTGTCTTTCTTCTGTTGTTTTTGTCGTTATACAGGGTAAGATAAAAAATAACTGCAACAAATTCAAACGCCATTATTTTTAATTTTTTTTTTTTTTAAATTTGATTGAATGAAAAC